GCTGGGGTTGGAACCCAGGAGTCCTGACTGGGTCAGGGTCTGACTTACTGGGCCTCCAAGTGGATCTCTGCTAACAGCCCTTCTCAAAGGCTGCTGGAAAAGCAGCACCAGGCCCTCCAGCCACTGTCCCCCCATTCAGCTCCCGGTTCCGATCCGCGCCTGGTGCAGCAGGGTGATTGGGTGACATGAGTTGCCCAGGTCTCAGCAACCCAGGAGGCCACCCCCCAAAGAGACGCTATTATCACTGGCACTAATTTGACTCCTGTATGTTAGTGTCACCGTACATGAGGTGGGCACGGGCTCTGGACTGGACTCAGCCAGGGACGGGTGAGCCCTCCCGAATGCTTCCTAATCGCAGGCAGGCAGGAGTTCTGTGCGCTCTCTGAGCGGCCTGCGTCCCCCCCCCCCCGCAGACCCCAGCCAGGGGAGCGCTAGTGACCACAAAGCCGGCAGCACCCGAAAGCCGTAACACCAGCAGCCTGACCTCCTTGTACTCAGACCTGGGGCCTTGAACCCTGGTGCCCAGCAGTGAGCATCAGTCTGCCTCTTGTTATTGTCTGGATATGGGGCCAAATCAACTCCTGGTGTCACTCCAGAGTCAATGGACTAACACAAGGAAGGAAGAGTTCTTTCCATCGGTGGCGAAACAGCTGCCGCTTTCCACCCCAGAGGTGGCCGCATTTCAGCAGTCAGGGACGTGCAGGTCTAGACTCGGGATGCTCCAGAACTCACCTGGGACTTTCATTGTTATGAGCCAATACTGAGTTGGGGGGAGGAGGGGGCCCCAGAGCACTGGTCGGGAACTCCGCTTCCCTTTGCGAGCCGCAACCCCAGCCCCACTGAATGAATCCCTCTAGCTCCTTTCCTGGCAGCCAGCGTGGGACTCGCCCCAGGCCAGGGAGTTTGGCAGAGACGGATCATAAACATGGCAGAGCTGCCTCTCGTCGTTCAAGCATGGGATTCCCAGGAGAACAATTTCTGAGGCCCTAGTGGGGCACTGATGGCTGCTTTGGGGGGTCAGACGGCCCTTAGAAGGAGCACAGGGACCTGGTACAGAAGCACATTTCCAGATAAAGAGGTTTGGCTCTGGAGATCTTTTTTCCCTGGCAGGCCTGGGGCCAGCACAGCAGCCGCGGCAGATCGGCTCCGTTTGACAAGAGAGAAGGGTCCGGGGGTTACCTAGACCCCAGCCACTCAGCCTGGGGCGCTTTCTGCCCCCTCCGGACGCTGTGACGCGCAGGGCAGATGTAGAACAGAGCCCCGCTGGGGCTAGTATTTGTATGGCCGTCGCCCCTGGAGGTCCCAGCTGAGATCAGGGCGCCAGGTGCTGCACAGACCCAGAGCGCGAGAGTCCCTGCCCCAAAGAGATGAAGATCGTCCTCCGCATTTCACAGCTGGGGATTTGAGCCCAGAGGGACGCAGTGACTTGCCCCAGGTCGCACAGGGAGGCTGTGGCCGGTTCGGTGACCACAAAACCAACCTCCCCTGTTTGGGCGGGGGACACAGCTAGGTAGCCCCACTGCAGGAGAGCAGCCAACCACAGGGAAATTCATTCGTTCTGTTGGTGCTTCCCCTCTTTTGGGGGTGCATATTCCAGGAGACGGGCTCCCAAACTGGGGGCTTCTCAATAGCAAATTGGCCAGTTAGCCAGGGCCGACTGCTCATTTCCAGATGCTGCTAAAAGCAGCTAAAAATCACGAACTGTCCCAGGAACAACGTGGATCACCAGACTGGACCAGACCGGGGTCCACGTAGCCTAGGAGCCTGTCTCCGTGGCCAGCACCAAGGAAGATGCAAGACTTGCACAGGAGACAGATACAGCAACTCCCCACTCAATGTCCTCTCGCTTAACGTTGTTTCGATCTTACGTCCCTGCTCCATTTAAAGTTGTGCAATGCTTCGCTAGAACGTCACAGCTGGCAGTCCCCTTATCAGCTCCCCTACGCCTTCTCCACCACCTCCCGCCCGCCGGCAGACCCACGGATCAGCGCCTTCCCCCTCCTCCCCCCACAGCAATCAGCTGGCTTGCGGCGTTCAGGAGGCGGGGAGGGAGGGGGGAGCCTGCGTGCCGTGTCCTCGCTCCTGCCCCCGGAACGCTGCATGCCAGCTGACTGCCGCAGGGGAGGAGCGAGGACACGCGTGCGGAGTAAAAGGGGGGGGAGAAGAGGCAGGTTAAGGGTGGGGGCTTGGGGGAAAGGGTGGTGTGGGTGGGCCGAGGGTTGAGCCCCCCGCCTTTGGTGCTTGCAGAGTAGGGGAAGCTGCCACTACTGCTGTGCAATATGTTTCTCCTACCTACAGCACCTCCAGCCTCCTTGCCTGCCTCCTTGTCTGCAGTGCCAGTGGGCTGTGTGGGGTAAGGCGGGGGCACCTCCCAACTGTAGTACTGTATGGCAAAAAAACATTTCCCTGGAACCTAAAACCCCCCCCCCCCATTTACATTCATTCTTCTGGAGAAATTGGATTCGCTTAACGTCGTTTCACTT